CTCTGGACCCCCTGGGAAACTCAACAAACCTGCTCTACCTGGAACTGGGTGTAAAGAGTGCAGATGAATGGGACACAGCAGTGGGCAGCCTGGAGAAGGAGCCTGCCCCTCAAAACCAAGTCTAGAGTGAGATAATAGAGTGATGATCTCTGTTTCCATTTTGAGACTTTTGTGCATGAGCTGAGAGTTTGTTGGACCCTGGGTGAGAACCTGGAGGCTGAGAGGGAGGGTGCCTCAGAAGGGAAATGCTTTGATATTGATTTATATATATATATATTAGTAATGTATGAATGTGTAACATTTTTATATTTTAGTAACTTTGTATAAATGTAACATGTTTCTTTGTAACTATGTATTTTTTCCAATGTTTTAAGTTGTCTGTTGTTGCTTCAGTTTTTAGTACACTGTTTAGAGATTTTTAAAAAATATATTAAGTGGTATAGAATTTTTTTTAATCCACACTCATTAAACGTGAGCATAATATACAACAATACAAACAACCAAATAAAAGACTTCCTTTATCCTGTATCTGGCCTCCTTATTTACTTCTTATAAACTGAGGGTGGATTTGTGTATTGGGGGGATGGGGGTTTGTGTTATGTTTTAAATAAAATTCCAATAAAATTAAAATTAAAAAAGAAATATTTTTTTAATTTTTATTTATTTATTTTTATTATTTATTTTTATTTATTTATTTTATTTATTTATTTGTTTGTTTGTTTGTTTGTTTGTTTTATTAATTTATTTAATCAGTTAAATAATGAATATCTCGTGGCAGCAAGTGCAATTCTTGAGTCCTACTCAGAGATTGTGGATGCATTAGAAAGTACAGTGGTACCTCGGGTTAAGTACTTAATTCGTTCCGGAGGTCTGTTCTTAACCTGAAACTGTTCTTAACCTGAAGCACCACTTTAGCTAATGGGGCCTTCTGCTGCTGATGTGCTGCCGGAGCATGATTTCTGTTCTCATCCTGAAGCAAAGTTCTTAACCCAAGGTAATATTTCTGGGTTAGCGGAGTCTGTAACCTCAAGCGTATGTAACCCGAGGTACCACTGTATAGTGGAAGACCAATCACAGAAGGGAGGAACTATTTGAGAGGCAGAAAACACTACAGACAAGATGCAAGAACCAAAGTCTGTATTCATGTTGACCATGTGGAATGAAATTTTACACTTTTGCTGCACAAGTCAAGTTTTGTCAGGCTTCAGGGAATTGGCTTCCTCCCCCCCCCCCCCCCGGCAGTAGATAAGCAGAACAAAGGAAGAGGAGTAATCTTACAAGTTAGAAACTGTGAGAGAACAAATAACCCATCTCCTAGAATGGTGGTTCCCCCAATTAAGGATCCCACCCTCTTATGTCCCTATTAATCTACGTCACTTCTACATCTTGTAATCTGAGCTTTGTGTGCTTTCTGTTTTGCTTTCTGAGCTCTTCTTGAACTTGGGGAGAGTGGAGGAATGCTTTCCGGAGACAGTGACTCTGTTAACTCACTCTCTCCCAGTGTTTCTTCTCCTAGCTGTTCCCCATCCAGCATTTCCCAGCTTCTGCCTTTTGAACTATGCCCCTCTGCAAACCACTGTTCCAAATCTATTCATTGATTCAGTAGCAGGAGCAGGGGGATGGGGAGACTCCCACCATTCCTCCTCAGTGCAGCTCCTCCTCAGCACGGTCCATGACAAGCTCTCCAATAAAAAGAACTGGATTTGGAAACATGCACAGACTTCTGTCAGTCATTAGCAGACCACTTTCACTTTCAAAGGAATGATTTTGAAAGATTTGAATACCTTTCAAAATATATCTTGCTTGATGCTGACTGCAAAGAGGTTCAGTCGTGCAAGCAAATCATGGGAAAAAAACAATCCAAGCATATTGTGACAATGCACCTTTTCCCATGTGAGGTAGACGCTCTGCCCTGATCTCTGGCCTTTCCATCATTACACACAACAGACTTTACACATATAATTGTCTTTATTCATAGTCTCAAGGTTCTAGACAGCCCTCCCAGCCCTAAAGGTAAAGGTAAAGAGACTCCTGACCATTAGGTCCAGTTGTGATCGACTCTGGGGTTGCGGCGCTCATCTCACTTTATTGGCCAAAGGAGCTGGCGTACAGCTTCCGGGTCATGTGGCCAGCATGACTAAGCTGCTTCTGACGAACCAGAGCAGCGCATGGAAACGCCGTTTACATTCCCGCTGGAGCAGTACCTATTTATCTACTTGCACTTTGACGTGCTTTCGAACTGCTAGGTTGGCAGAAGAAGGGACCAAGCAACGGGAGCTCATCTCGTCACGAGGATTCGAACTTCCGACCTTCTGATCGGCAAGTCCTAGGCTCTGTGGTTTAACCCACAGCGCCACCCGCGTCCCTTACTAGGGATGAAACCTGGGCCTTCTGTGTCTAAAGTAGATGCTCGCAGTTACGCTGTGGTCTTTCTAAGAATTTCTGGTCACCCATTTCCGAGCTTGGTCATTTTGAACAACGTTTGACCCGCTCTTCTCAGAGGTCAAGTCCTGTGGCAAGCACCAAGAGCAGCCAGGAAACCTGCCAAGGGGCGAAGGCACGGATTAGAAGAGAAAATCAACTTTCCTGGTCGACCTGATTGACATGATTAATTGCCACCCACGTAAGTAGGTGTTGCTGCTGTTTATTTTAACGGCTCTGCCAGCAACAAGCATCTGGGATTCCTAAATGTTGCTCCATCGCCCCAGTCAGCCTGGAATCCAGCCCTGATTTTATCTCGTGTGTCACCACCAAAATCAAAAACAAAAAATAATCTTGTATGTGAGAGAAGATAAAGCAATCCTAAAGGGTTTTATTGCAAGATAGGGTTCTGCCTTGTCTTGCAAGGAAATTGGTTTTGTGGCTGAATCGGGGGTTTGGCACTGCTCTCCTGGAAACATCTCCGACTCTCAAACCTCTTTTGCTTTCAGAGAGTTTTCACATGGAGCTTTTTATTTGGGGGGAAAAACACTCGCCTTTTTCAGATCTCTCTTGATTGTGTCGTGTTCTAGATGCTATTAAAACTCTCGCAGCCGTTGTCACATACATGAAGATGTTTTTCAGCTTTTTTGGCAGATCTTTCCCTACAATCCCTAATAAAAATGATTCAGGTTTTTTAACAAATGTTAAATGGAACATTTTCTTCAATTCGTTGTATATCATTTCCCAAACTTTTTTAATTACCTTACAATCCCACCACATATGATAAAATGTCCCCTCCTTTCCCTTACACTTCCAACATATATTTGAACTAGTTTTGTACATTTTCCCTAACTGCACCGGTGTTGTGTATCATCTGTACATCATCTTCATGTAATTCTCCTTCAATAGGGAACAATCTGTAAATTTTAAGTCAGTTTTCCATAATTTTTCCCAGCCTTCCATCATAATGTTGTGACTTACGTCTTGTGCAATTCTTGTTGGTGTGGGAATGAGAGATAACTTTTGCTGTTCACCATACAGTGAAATCCCAGTGGGCATGCAATATCCATCACAACAGCCTGTGTCCACTCACTTTTTGTAAGCTGCAAAAATTCTGCTGGTGGACACCCATGTGTGCTGACAGCATCATTTTTGGGGGGGGGGGAGGGAAAGCACAAACTGCAACAAGGGTTCGACCCACACCTATGCGCTACTGTCCCATTCCATTCATAAAATGTAATGAATCACAGAAAGAAAAAGGTGTCTGCTTTAATTCGGAAATTATATTTTCTGTATTTCTGAACCTCCAGCATGCTCCACACTAGGGCTTTTCTACCATCGGGGATGGGGTCTCAGTTCCCACCCCCCTCATGGTAATAGGGTTGCAGCTTGGACCACTAGGTTTGTTAGGCCCAGGTCAAATGTACTCCTCCCCACCTTGACAATACCATCCTATGATGAACTTGCTCAAGCTGCAACACTGAGGCAAAGCTTAGCTTTGTTGTTCCTTTTAAAGCACACTTTAAGAAGCGCATTAAAAAAAAACCTTTGGCTCTCCGTCTGCTAACACTACAGTGTTGTCTAGTTTCTTTTCTAGGAAAGGTTTGATTAACCTTGCTCCTTACTGCCTGCGCTATTCTTCCAGGAGCAATTGAGAGGGAAAGCGTTGTCTCCTACTAAGTTGCTCAGTTTCTGCCCCTTGTGTACCAAAAATAGTAACTTGTTTGACTTGCTCACACAAAGGAAAACTTCCTTGCATCCTGCTGTCAGCTTTCAAAGGCAGTTCAATTTCCCCCATGTCTCAAAGGACAGCTTTCCAAGTTCATGTGTCAAGTGATGGGGGTTACTTAGAGTTGGACTGACCTCTTCAAGGACCCCCAAGAAGCATAATGGGAGTCTTTGCCACTGGATGTCCGACTACCTGCTTCTTGTGGACTCAGGTTAGGATTCTGTAGTGAAAACCGAGGTAACCACTCTGTGGAATGAGCAGGAGGAGCCTAAGAATACAGGAGGGCTTGCTTTCTGTCTGCAGAAGTAAGTGAAGTACAGTGGTACCTCAGGTTACAGACACTTCAGATTACAGATTCCACTAACCCAGAAATAGTACCTCGGGTTAAGAACTTTGCTTCAGGATGAGAACAGAAATCGTGCAGCAGAGGCACAGCAGCAGCAGGAGGCCCCATGAGCTAAAGTGGTGCTTCAGGTTAAGAACAGTTTCAGGTTAAGAATGGACCTCCGGAACGAATTAAGTTCTTAACCCGAGGTACCACTGTAACATATTGTTACAGGAGGGGGAACCCTCCCCAAAAAACCCCTAGAAATTAATAAATGGTAGGATTTTGATTATCTGGGATGTGAAAGGAGAAATACAAGCTACAGAGGAATTCCTGGACCAGCCTCTGCAAAAGGACCTAGCAAAACTAGGGCTATTAAGGAACAATAGAGGACCACAGAGGAACATTGGCAATGCAAGAGAACGGTGCTTCCCCCTTACCCTGAGGTGTGAACAGAGACTAGTTGCCAGGGTAACTGGATGTCAAGTAACAAGAAAATAGAATTTTTTGGGCAAGGGGTTCTGGGAAGAAGAAGCAGGAAGAAGGCTGGAATCCATTTTGGGCAGGCTGGCTGAAGGCTGGCTGCACTGCTGTGGGGTACAAACCCCTCTTGAAATGACCATGCCGTAAGACCTGGACTCCTTCCATGCAGGTTGAAGGTGTAAATAGGTGAGTAAACCATATTTCTTAAAGCTACAACAGTCTCTGCCATGCCTCAGTTCTCCAAAGGAACACAGACCCTGGGTGAGTGCCTGGAACTCTTGCCACCTCTCGGCCAGGGTGGGGGGGAGGCACCCAGCTTTTGTAGCAATATATTCCCATCTAAACAGCCACCTCCCCTGTTATACCATTAAATCCAGGGTCTAAAATTGCCCAGCTGCACCACTGTTTAATTCCAATTGCTTAGATTAGGAAAAGGGCTCAGTTTATTTTCTCAAGGAGAGCGCAACCCAAATGTTCACCTTCCCCCGTAATCCCGAAAGTTAATGATACTAACAATCAGATTCAACAGCACTAGCAAGTTAACAATATGTCCTGATGACCTTCAATCACAGGTTTCAAGTGTAAAGATTAAATGACTCAGATTTTAATCCAAACCGTGTCTTACGAAACCATGTTCAGCACTGATAGGCATCTTAGAAATACCCTTTGCAGAGTTCTTGCATCTTTCAGCTACAGAGGCTTGGCCTCTTTATGGGAGAAGTTACTGCAGCTCAGTGGCAGGGTTAGGTTAAAATTCAGGAACTCTCAGGTTTATTCCTCCAGTATCCATTTTAAAAATAAAATAAAATAAATGAGTCAGGTAGCAAGGGACGGGGAAGACCTCTGTCCAAGGCTATGGAGAGTGAATCCCAGTCAGAGCAGGCAATATTGTGCGTTGGCAATGGAGGTGATGACAGGCAGTGACTTGAAGCTTGCTGAGATTGAATGCTGAAGGAAGTGGAGCTTGAAGTCAGCACCAATCAGCTGATGGAATGCCAGGCAATTGACAGGTGGGTGGGGTCCTAGGTATAGAAATAGTCCACCATCAGCAGGGGAACCTGGGATCCAGCCCACCAGCCAGATCCACTATCTCACACCATGTGGCTTTATTGGCCCCGCCTCCATAAGCCACAGGCCACAGGCCACTCCACTATGTCCAGGAACCGCCACTGCTGCACGGGGGTAGTTCTGCTCATGAAATAGATCTTCCCTTTCCTCTCCTCACCCCCCAGCCGTCTGTGCACCCTGAAAATCTGAAAGGTCCCCCAATCCTCTGGAGCAGATTTTGAGACATGAGTGTACGTCAGTTCTGTTTGTGCAATGGTAGGTACACCATGCAATCCACAGTTTATCAAGTTTCTTCAGAGTAGGCCAATAGCTCAAAATATTCACACAGAACCTAGGACTTCATTGTCATCTGCCGTCTTAACGCCTCTAAACCACTGTATGCCACTGGAATCTCAACTCGCTGTCATATCCAGATGTGTTAATTTGGCTTGCTTTCCTTTTTGATTAGCATTGTACGAAGTAATCCATTGAGCCAAGTCAGCAGTTGGCAGCTGGTCTATTGGCTAAACATGTGAAGTGATATAGTTATGAGACACGGCATATACCTAACTTCCCTTGCATAAGACGTAATAATTTGTTCCTCCGCCTATATGTGATTAAGAATATTAAGTACTTAGTAGACATACACTTGCTATTGTATTCTGGATAATAAAATCTGCCTCTAGTGCAAAGCAGAAAAACCAGTCTACCCAGAATCAGGTAGCTGAGTTTTCAACCAGCGCCTAAAAAACGTAAGGTGATTTTGGATGCCTTAGCCACTGAGCTGCATAGAAAAAGAGGTATTGCACTAGAGTAGCATTGCTTTGCTCTCGACAGTTGCAACAATTCTGCATCCCCTTTGGACTTTCACTGGCTTTGGCTCAGCCAGCTGAGCCCAGTGGGACAAGTTACACTGTCTTATCTTCAACTGTGCTGGGGCTGGGGGATTTAACACCGTCTGTGTGGGGGCTCAGCTGGCTGAGCTGGAGATCAGCTACATCCTAAAATACTCATCCCAATGGATCTTGAGTGAAGATCCAGTTTCAGGAGAGCTTGCCCTATCTGTAATTGCTTTCACTCTGTCTTTAGATCATCAGAAATCAGAGTATCATCACCGTTCATCTTTTTCATCATCTTGGTGGCAGGGCCGGATTTAGTTTTGATGAGGCCCTAAGCTACTGAAGGTAATGGGGCCCTTTATATGTCTAGCTGTCTTTTGTCAACAACAAATTGTCACTGGTTTTTGTGTTGAGTATATGCTATATGGTAGTTTATGGATCTAATTGGTATCTAAAGCCATTTGCACATATCAAAATATGTATTTTATCAAAGTAATTGTTGAACTGAAATACAATTAAGAATAAGTGATATTTGAGGGAGCAGGCTAGCAGGTGGGGCCCATTACTTACAGCATAGGAGCCTACACAACACAAAACACATGCTTTATGTAGGTTTTATTTTATTTGTTTTATACCTTATATTTTGGAAATGTACACCCAGGGGTTTTTTTCCTTTAATTTTTTTTGGGGCCCTCCCAAGAGAGTGAGGCCCTAAACTATAGCTTGTACCTAAATCCGGCACTCAAGGAAAATGACAGTCTCTGTCCCCAAAGCACTTATAATCCAATGCAGTGCAAGAGAAGGCAAAGGAAGGAAGGAAGGAAGGAAGGAAGGAAGGAAGGAAGGAAGGAAGGAAGGAAATGCAAGATGCTATGTGCACTTGTATTAGTGGATGAGGCTGGAGGGTTAAGCCGAAGGCTTCTCAACATGCCTCACTGTCACTGTAACTCTATGTAAACAGCAGTCCCATTTATTCACACGCGTTGGGTGTTCCCCACTGGCCATTTAGATAAAACGAGCGTATGTTTCCAAAAACACAATCATAATTGTCAGTTCAAATAGCTAGATGACAAGCTTAATGCAACAATTAAGCATGAAGACTTAGAAAGACTTTGCTGTAGCGTTTGAGCAAGTCAACAGCATGCCTGCCGATTGCACAAAATAACTCAGCCCTAGAACTTGCCCACTGGGTAAAAGTGGCCTCTAGCCACATGGTTCAATGATGGCAAATACAGAATGCTTCTAGACAGCTGACAACTCTCCCTCTCTCCCACTTGTTTTCACTATTGTGAATCATGCCCAATTACATGAAAGCCAAATTCAGTACTGAGTGCCAAATTAGTCACTTGATTAGAAAATGTGATGTTGTAGAAGAGTGTTTGCTCTGTCTGGATCTACTGGGAACAACAAATAGGAAAGCAGACTGTGAAATGGTGCAAAATTACTGATTATACTTGGGTAGCCCCATCTTACAGGGATACGGGTGGCGCTGTGGTCTAAACCACTGAGCCTCTTGGGCTTGCTGATCAGAAGGTCAGCGGTTTGAATCCCTGCGATGGAGTGAGCTCCCGTTCCTCTGTCCCAGCTTCTGGCAACCTAGCAGTTCGAAAGCATGCCAGTGAAAGTAGATAAATAGGTACTGCTGCGGCAGGAAGGTAAATGGCATTTCCATTTGCTCTGGCTTCCATCACGGTGTCCCGTTGCACCAGAAGCGGTTTAGTCATGCTGGCCACATGACTGGAAAGCTGTCTGTGGACAAACACCGGCTCCCTCAGCCTGAAAGCGAGATGAGCGCCACAACCCCATAGTCACCTTTGACTGGACTTAACTGTCCAGGGGTCCTTTACCTTACCTTTTTACCTTAGCCCCATCTTCTTTATGAAGTATACCCATAACTTCAGGATGGCAGTGTGGCAGAGTGACTCCAGGCTACCATAAATAAATCTGCTATTCCCACTACTTTATGAGTTAATCTTAGGAATAATAATAACAATAATAATAATAATAATTTATTTATACCCCACCCATCTGGCTGGGTTTCCCCAGCCACTCAGGGCGGCTCCCAACAGAATATTAAAAACACGATAGAACAACAAACATTAAAAACTTACCAAAACAGGGCTGCCTTCAGATGTCTTCTAAAAGTGAGATAGTTGTTTATTTCCTTGACATCTGATGGGAGGGCATTCCACAGGGCAGGCACCACTACCAAGAAGGCCCTCTGCCTGGTTCCCTGTAACCTCACTTCTCGCAGTGAGGGAACCGCCAGAAGGTCCTTGGCACTAGATCTCAGTGTCCGGGCTGAATGATGGGGGTGGAGATGCTCCTTCAGGTATACAGGACAGAGGTCATTTAGGGCTTTAAAGGTCAGCACCAACACTTTGAATTGTGCTCGGAAATGTGCTGGTAGCCAATGTAGGTCTTTCAAGACTGGTGTTATGTGGTCTTGGCGGCCGCTCCCAGGCACCAGTCCAGCTGCTGCATTCTGGATTAGTTGTAGTTTCTGGGTCACCTTCAAAGGTAGCCCCACGTAGAGCGCATTGCAGTTGTCCAAGCAGGAGATAACTAGAGCATGTACCACTCTGGAGAGACAGTCTGCGGGCAGGTAGGGTCTCAGCCTGCATACCAGATGGAGCTGGTAGAGAGCTGCCCTGGACACAGAATTGACCTGCACCTCCATGGACAGCTGTGAGTCCAAAATGACTCCCAGACTGCACACCTGGTCTTTCAGGGGCACAGTTACCCCATTCAGGACCAGGGAGTCCCCCACACCTGCCTGCCCCCTCTCCCCCCAAAACTACTTCTGTCTTGTCAGGATTCAACCTCAGTCTGTTAGCCGCCATCCATCCTCCAGCAATGAAGGCTAAGGGAGTTCATTCCTGCCAACCCTTCATGACTCAAGGAGGTAGGTGAAGAACAGCCCACAAACATCACAGCAAACCACGGCAATGCAGCTGGCTCCAGACAGCATTAGCCCCTGCCTTACCTCCTGACTCAGCTTGTGGTATCAAAAGAGGGATTCAGGGCCAAACTAGAAGGGGTAGTGTCAGGGGTTCAGGGAGAGAGGCACAGGGTAGGCAGGAGATGGAGAGCGATGGGGATGAATTCCAAGCCAGCGAGGAAGAGGATGACAATGACTCAAGAGATTCCATGAGTCTTTCCAGCGAATCAGAGGATTCCCAGAAGGGGGCGCCGGTGGTCAAGGCCAGGCGAGCCCCAGGGGGGACGTGTCAGGAGCAGGGGGCCAGCGGAGGATCCCAAAGTGGCAGCTGGGGGTCACGACCAGCCTCCCCACCAGAGTGCAGCGAAGGGGGTGGAGTTTCCAGTGTGTCAGGGAAGCAGCTCCGGCAGCAGAGAAAGGAGGGAGGTCAGAGCAAGCCGCCCTCCCGGAAGGGAGGGAGCAGTGAAGGGAGTAGTGTAACTGTCAAAAGGAAAGTTAGAGGTTTGGCGCGCGTGCCAAGTTTCAAATGTAGAGGCGCGCGAAGTACAGGGAGCCCGGAGGAGGGGCCAGGTCCCAAAGCCCGCAGGAGGGGGAAGAGCAGTCTGATTCCGCGTCAGAGGAATCCAGGAGGGGCGAAACTCCAGCGGGCAGAAGGACCCTGCGGAAAGGGAAGGAGAGAAAGAGGTGGAGCAGCGCAAGCCGCTTAAACTTGTGCACGGCAGGGAAGGATTCAGAGGGGACTTCAGCGGTCTAAGCGTAGCAGACGTAAGGCTGCGCGCCTAGGATGTCAAGCAAACAATGAACTGCAATAAACACCTTTGTATATAAGAAGGCATAGGCGTTGGTCTTTTGTGAGCTGAGACTTGAGGCAGCCTTGACAGGTAGGAACTTAGATTAGGTCAGTGGTGTGTTAATCCCGCACCCACTCAGCAAACAGGAAGCGTTTCACAGCCACTGAGAATCCTCAGTTCTAATTGGCCAATTTAGCACTCCCCATCTTAACAGCTTTCTCCCTAAATATTTTTTAGACTTCTGCAAACCTTGGAGTTTCCCCCAAGCCTGGCGATACCACCCTCTTGTGTATGGATGGTGACTTTTGGTTACCCAAACAACAGCCACACACGATACGATACAATAATCTTTGTTGTCATTGTCTCATACAGAACAATGAAACTGAAAAAATCTACATCAGACATTCAAAAACCAACAAGCCTGCTATTGCAGCTATCCCAGCCTGGTTAGGCCCCTAAAAACTCTGATACCCCATAATTAAATACAATATACTCCCATAGAGACTACCTTACACTGCGTTTAAAACGAAAATAGCATTTGGATAGAAACTGTTTCTCAGTCCTAGTCTTTATAACCCTGTACCTTCTTCCAGAAGGCAGAAGCTGAAAGAGATCATTTCTGGGGTGCGCACTGTCCTGCACTATCTCTGCAGCTTTCTTATGACACAGCGCGGACATCGGGAAAAGGGAAAATGATACCCACTAAAAAACAATGTAGCAAATACTATGGCCCATTTAGATGGATGCCTTCATGTGCAAACAATTCATATGGTGTCACTCAGGCATTTGTGGAAAAACAAATGCGTTTTCCAGAGCCCTTGTGCACAAGTTGTTCCACTGCCAAAAGAATGAGAAAGAGCTGGTTTCCCCACCTCTTCCCCACCTTCTTTGCACATTGCAATGATCTTCAACCATCCTGCCCATCAAGGTGAACCCAAATTTTACATAGTTATTATCCTTGTTCCAGCGGCTGCTGGCTAGTGTCCAAGTTGCCCCTGCAATCACTCATTCTGTAAAACTATGCCAGAAATACAGAGAAGAAGCCATAAAACTCCAGGTTCTTTGACTCCTCGCTGTCCATTGTCTGCAGAACAGGCTTGGGGTGAGGCAGGGGGAACCTTGCATTCTTTTACCCTTAAAAAAAAAAGATTGCGTACTGGGAGCTGTCTACAGATCATCTTTGAAAATTATTGGCAGTTTTTGTACCGCCATTCTCAAATGGCTGGGGAGAAAAACAAAATAAACCTTTGACCTTTTCTGACAAACCTGCCTTTGGAGGAGGCAGTTGTTTATTTAGAGAAGCTTACCAGATAATGGAAAGCAAGGAGAGAGAGAGAGAGAGAGAGAGAGAGAGAGAGAGAGAGAGAGAGAGAGAGAGAGGAGCACTGGCAAATTGACTAGGTTGCTTTGAGCAGGCTAACCAAAAATAGAAAAATTGGAGGGTTGTTTAAAAAGAAAGAAAAAAGTGTGTGCTATTCTACAACACAGCACCCATTTATTTCCCATTGACCCTTCTTTTGCTATGGTACATTTTCTGAAGACGAGGTTAGGTAAAGGGAGGGGGGGGGGAGAGATTCTGTTTGCGCAAGGTTTATGTAAACTTCCTGTAGAAGCGAAGAGGCTCCCGTATTGGAGGTTATAAGAAAACACCTGCCCATCAATACGACATCACCTGGACAAAGGCTTCCTTGCACCTTTCACAGTAAGAAAGGCCTACCCATTACTTCTGATTATCAGCCACACCTGAATGAACCAACACAGCTCTGGTCAACAAAAGGTGACTCCGCCACTCCGCCACCCCAAAGCAAGAACCACCACATGGGTCACATTCCTATCTGCTCTGACTTCCTGAAGTAGCTTCAATAGAACATCCAACATGTTTTATTGGTGGGAAGAGGTTTCCCCTCCACCACCTTTTCAGTCCAACAATCATTTTGCAAGACAGGATGTTCTTTGCCATTCAGTTAACCTTTTCGGAATAAAGAGCAACAGCTCAGGGCAATCTTTGCCCTCCCAAGCAGCCAACACAGGTGGCGTGGCCCAATTCAAACAACCATAATAAAATATAAAGTGATGAACCAATAAAAAAAGTATTGAACCAAAAGACACAGCGGGATGGGGTGGGGGCTGACTGTTTTTTTGTCCTGAGGGCTGTATTTAGGGTTGCCAAGCCTCTGAGGGCTGCATGTCCATAGCTGTCAACTTTTCCCGTTTCTTGCAAGGAATCCTATTCGGAATAAGGGAATTTCCCCTTAAAAAAAAGGGAAACGTTGACAGCTATGTGCATGTCTGCAGTGGTTGTGGCCAAACTCAGACCCTCCAAGTGTCCTTATTTTCCAGGGACAGTCCCAGATTTACAAAAGCTCTCCCGGTTTCTGATTTGATCCCAGAATGTCCCACCTTTCCTTAGGGTGTCTCTATTTTCATTAGAGAAATGTTGGAGGGTGTGGAGTTATATATTTATTCAGTGAACCGCCCTGAGACCCCCGAGTATAGGGCGGTATATAAATAGTAAAAATAAGAAGACGACGGGGATGTGGAGTGGAAAGTAAAATTGAGAACAACTAGCAACTAAGACTCTAGAAGGAAGGGACACACACAAAACTCAGACTACTTCATTTGTGTTTAAAGAGGAAGTCATGCCAGCATATTTGCATTGATAGGGGTTCCCACCCATTAGATTACTCTCATTCTAAAAGAATTCCAGAATATTTATTCAGCAGCAAGCAAAATGCACCAATTTCAAGATAACACGTGGCAAGATAATGGCAGGTCACGGAATCAAGTGGGAGAGAATGAGTTTTTATACATGCGTCTGTGCATGGGAAATTCTAGTTAAATAATCCAGGGTGGAGATGGGGGAGGAGGGGGCGAGCTGATAAGGAAGCTGGAGAAGTCACATGGCAGTTTCACTGAGAAAGAAAATAAGGGGAAATTGGGTAAAGTGGCCACTCACACCTTGCCAAAAGAGAATAATAAAAAGAAGTCAAAGGAAAACATGGATTTGCACGTACTATTCTATATACAGTGGTACCTCTAGTTAGGAACTTAATTCATTCCAGAGGTCCGTTCTTAACCTGAAACTGTTCTTAACTAGAGGTGTGCTTTCGCTAATGGGGCCTCTTGCTGCCGCTGCGCCGCCAGCACACGATTTCCATTTTCATCCTGGGGCAAAGTTCTCAACTTGAGGGAACTCTCCCAGGTTAGCGGAGTTTGTAACCTGAAGTGTTTGTAAGCTGAGGTGTTTGTGACTCGAAGTACCACTGTATAAGAAATGGTGCAGATTCCTATCTTACTTCTTTGTCCCTTCGGAGCTCCGTTGTGTCTCTTAAGTGGAAAGCCACTTCGCGAAACTCTCCTCGCACCCTTTCAAAGTAAGGTGTTTTTTTTCAAGTTCTTTGCGACTGCACATACATGCCTTGTGTGAATATTTTTCTGAGTCATAATACCAACTGCGTTGGGACATTCAGTGCATATTATACCTTCATTATATGCAGAGTTGTGTTTGTTTTGATTAGATTCTATTCTCTGTATTCCTTCATTGTTGGGTGCTAAATGCTGAAGGGCAACTTTAAGGTCACTGCTCTCTCTTGTTCTTTATCTTCAATGAACTAGGCAGGTCTTCAACTGGGGGACTCCAGAGAGAGGACTGTCTTTTGAAAAGTAGGATACATGACCACCCTAAAATTGGGGCATGCATGATAGTATTTTCCCAATCCGATTACATAGACCAGAGGTTTTCAACCTTTTTGAGCCCACAGCCTCCTTGACCAATTGTTTTCTTTCTGCGGCTCTCCTGTGGGGCTCAGGAGCCCAGTTATGTCACCCCTTGCTTGCATAGCTGGCAGCCTATCACCCTTTTGCGAACACCTTCCCTCGTGGAGTATTTTTTCAGCCTCCTCTCCTTGAGAGAGCCAACATGGTGTAGTGGTTAAGAGCAGTGGACTCGTAATCTGGTAAACTGAGTTCGCTTCCCCGCTCCTCCACATGCAGCTGCTGGTTGACCTTGGGCTAGTCACACTTCTCTGAAGTCTCTCAGCCCCACTCACCTCACAGAGTGTTTGTTGTGGGGGAGGAAGGGAAAGGAGAATGTGAGCCGCTTTGAGACTCCTTTGGGTAGTGATAAAGCGGGATATCAAATCCAAACTCTTCTTCTTCTTGGGAATCCTCCGCTGCTGCTGCCCTTGGTCTCTGAACTACCCACCCCCTGCCCCAAAGAGAGGTGCCTCCTCACACTGCCCCACAGGGGCCTGGGACTTGTCTGTCTACTTCCAACAGCAAGGGTTGGCGGACTGGCTGGCTGGGCTCCCTGGCCCCCTTGCTTGCTTACTCCGAGGCCGCCTCAGCTCCTGGCAACCAGCACCCCCTGGCCAGCCCCAGAGGCACCAATTCACCAGGGGAGCTTGTAGCCAGGGCTGCTACAACAACAGCCATGCAAGCCTTGGGGAGGCAGAAATGTGAGAAGGCATCAGAGGAGGGAGGGAAGGAAAGAAGGACAGAGGTCAGTATTGCCCATAGCACCCCTGACATCATTCAAGGCACCCCAGGATGCCACGACACACAGGTTGAAAACCACTGCCCTAATCCTTTGAAAACTGAAAAATAGATTTTGGTGTTTTCCCTGCAGTGTGTTGTATAGCTAATTAATTTAGGGGTTATGGGTGGGCTATTGTTATGAGTTTGAGGATGCCAAACCCCTCTAATTAATCCCTGGATCCAGCAAGTGTTAGAATTTAATCAAGGCTTGGGGTGTTAAATTGGGTGTCAGACCCCCTTTAGTCCCTGCATCCTACAAGTGTTGAAATCAAATCAAGCCAAGGTAGCTTTTATGGGTCAAAGTTGAGGATTTTTTTCTTCCTGCTTCCATCCGAATTACTTATTATCCCGGCTCATGTGTAATGGCGGCAACAAGAAATGTTAAGGTCTGCATCGTATATACATCTGCAGCATAAAGGTTCATGAAAACAGTTTGAACGCTTTCCCACCTCCCTCTTTAAGGTCCACATTATTACTAGATAAATATACATTATTCATTCCAGGACATTCTTTTTTCCACTCTACTCTACCTATTCACCAGGTTAATGCATTAACTTAACTGCTGCTTATTGACGATCCCCACCCCCAAGGTAAAGTAATGGGGCCTGTATGACCATATCCTTGACTCTAATTGAAAGCCTCAGTTAAAAAAGAAAGAAAGTAAAAGGCACTTAGATATGTTGCAGTCCTAGTTTCATAGCAGTAAAATAAATAAACCAACAATTTCATCTCAAAAAGCGGAATATCATTGAAAAACATTGGATGCAGCACAAACCTTTTCTGCAAAAGAAAACAAAGCAAAACAAAAAAAAGCCCTCCAATATCTAAAGTGGGATTTAGTGAAAGGGAGGTAGATAAAGACTTTTTGTTCAAAAATGAAGTTTCTAATTTTAAATGGGTGAGAAAACTACAGTTCCTTTATTTTATTTTATTTTTTTCAGGCAAATTCAATAGGATGGCAGTCAACAGAAAGCTGCAGTGGCAGAAAAATCTCTGCACTCTCTGGTGAAGCATCTTTCCTCACTGAGGACTGGGATTACTCTTTGCAAAACCCCTGATAGAAAACTTCAAAACTCTACATGCATCTTTCCTACCAAGGGAAAGGTCCCTGTAGGCCTTCTTACGTCTCAGACTCCCGTAGGAGAAGATGCTCTGCTGGGAACTGGGAGTCCCCATCGCTGCCTCTGCCTACCCTATTCGCATCTCATAGTAAGTTGTGGTTTGTTTTTTTCCTTGGGGCAGGGAATTGCCTTTCCCTAATTGGGGCACTGCTGAATTCTCTGCTCTGAGACTCTGCTTTCACTTTTTGTAATACAGTGGTACCTCAGGTTAAGTACTTAATTCGTTCCAGAGGTCCGTACTTAACCTGAAACTGTTCTTAACCTGAAGCACCACTTTAGCTAATGGGGCCTCCTGCTGCTGCTGCGCCGCCGGAGCACGATTTCTGTTCTCATCCTGAAGCAAAGTTCTTAACCTGAAGCACTATTTCTGGGTTAGCGGAGTCTGTAACATGAAGCGTATGTAACCTGAAGCGTATGTAACCTGAGGTACCACTGTACAGTCATACCTTGGGTTACAGACGCTTCAGGTTGCGTTTTTTCAGGTTATGGACTGCTGAAACCTGGAGGTACTGGAACGGGTTACTTCCAGATTTCAGCAGTCACGCATGCACAGAAACACTGAATTGCTCTTTGTGCATGCACAGAAGCGCTGAATTGCAATCCGCGTGTGCACAGAGGTGCAGATGCAGGTTGTGAATGCTGCGGGTTGTGAATGTGCATCCCACACGGATCACATTTGCAACCTGAGTGTCCACTGTATCGTACAGGTGGTATCCTGCTTGCAACAAAATGCAGCCATGTGGAATGCTCCTGTTCACTTCTCCAAGGCTACGTTATTTCATTTCCCCTTCCAGTTGGTCAGCATTCCACGGCCACTGAGCATGCTCAGTCCTCATTAAAGAAAAAGAAAAATCTGCAAGACTGCTAATCTCTAACTTGTGCATGGGTGGTGCCCTTTTGACTGTATAAGCAATAGCACTCCCGTCTGAACACTGAAAACAAAGGGAATAAAATCATTCGTGCTTGTAGCGAAAACTAAGAAGGAGAGTCTGCTAATGAATGAGTGAACCAAAAGCTGTCTATAAGGAGTTCCCAGCAGCCAAGGTCTTTTCAACGCCTTTCTGCCTGTTTGCCAAAGTCCTTTCCTCCTGCTTCTATGCATGCACTTTTTCCATCCCATGTTTGATTTTCCTTGCTCCACTAGATTCCTTGTCAAAATTCCAAAAGCCTGCAAAATCTGAAATGCTTCGAAGAACAAGCAGTCCTTGTGAAAGTTTGCTTCAATCAAGATAATCTGTACAGTTGCAACTTTTGCAACATCGTAAGTTACCTCATCACAGGGATGGTGTTAAGTACATGAAGAGAAGGTGCCTGAGCTTCGCTTTCATTCCTCAAAATCGGATTATGGCCTTATCTGTGTAGAGTTCAGAACTAGTTTTTCCTGGCACATGTTAACATGGCGGTTGCAATCAGCTAGATTTGCAATCGCTCCTGCAATCGTTCTGGCACTAATCTTACTCTTAACTTCCATAGTCTTTTAAAAACTAATTTTCTAGTAAGGAGCAACCATTGAGAAAAATATGAAAAAACCACTATGTTTATATTATATTTCTAACTGATAAAATATAACTGTTACATAAAGAGGGGTGGAATGATGTGGTCCTGTGCATGCCTTCTCAGAAGTAAACCCCATTGGATTTAATGGAACTTACTCCCAGGTAAGTGGGAATTGGATTGCACCCTAAGGCCCTGTGGGTGCAATTCCATACTCACTTTCCAGTGAATGAACCTTACTGAAATCAATGGGACTTGTGGATGCACTGCATTGTAAATCAAAAAAAGATCATATGTCCTTCTATATACAACCCAATAACAAAAGCAAAGAAAAATCCATGAAAACTTTCCTGCCGTTTCAGATTAAAGAAGAAAAAGTACACTCAAGCAATGTAACAAATATGGATCAAAGTGATGCCTACGTGGCCATAACACCTTAATAAATGTGTATCAGAGAATATGTATTGCTTCAGTATTATTTTTGTTACAGGACTCCCTGAAGATACATTCACAGCACAATTCTGTGCATGCACACTCAGAAGTAAAGTCTACTGTGTTCAGGGGTGTCATGTTTTTTTATTGTCTTCCAAAGCAACTCCTCTATTCCGAACTTAAAAATGGAAAGCTGGTGGTCAACAAAAGAGGTTTAAAGACTGTCTCAAAGGCAATTTTTTAAAAATGTAGTAAAAACACCAACAATTGGGAAACACTTGCCTGCAAGCGCTCCAATTGGAGAACAGCCTTCACCAAAGGTGTCATGGGTTTTGAAGACACTCAAACTCAGGACACAATTCTCTTTCTTCGGATAAGTGAGTCATTCCTCATATACTAAGCTGGAGTCTGTAGGATGCTGTAAATTATTTTATGATTACTTGCTTAATAGGGCAAGTTGACACACACAATTTTTTGGGTCATATGCTTGCTCTTTTATATAATCATACATTTGCATTGTGGGCATATTTTATGTAACGTGGATAAATCTTACAATGCGTAATTTCCTCCTAAGATACATGAACAGATGAAAAGGGTACAAATGATATTTTATGATCTGCAAGTTGGTGGCTGTGGTGGGGGTAGTGGTGGGACAAAAACTAGACATGGAAGAGTCCTATTTCTGTTCAGAAAATATTGAGAAGAAGTGGATTTTTCAGCCCAAAGTCCTGCTGGTTTTTTTATCCTGGAACCTGTCCCAAATTGACCAAAATCACATAGGATCTGGTGGAGCCCAACAATTTGCAAGACACCTGCCCCCCCCCCCCGATAATGTTGGCATGTCTTGCATAGAGAAAGGTGTGTCACCTTTTTGCACACACAGCACAACCTGTCTCATTGGATTGGGCTCCAGTGCTGATGAAACTCACTTGAACGCTGCATGGGCAGCAAGTTTCTGCATATGTGCAATATGGCCTACAACAAAGGAGAGTGATTTATTGACATTGCAGTTTGTGCTGAGCATGTATCAGCCTGGCACAGTGGCAGGATTCTGCTAGTGTGGGAGTCATAAAGCCACGGTAAAGGCTTGTAATATTGCAGGGTGCCCCCTGACCTCGGCTGACCAGCACTCTGAGCTTTACAATGTAATGGAATGTATTGGAGCTGTGTTTCCTCTGGGCAGTGATTGACCTTATAAGGTGAAGGGGGCAATAAAAGCCTTGACCGGATGAGGTAACGTGAGACACTGGCAAACAGCCATGCGGCTGGAGAGAGGACAAAGGAATAAAGAAACGGCAGGAGGAGAGGGAGGGAAAAGGAGCTGCTCCTACCATCATGAAAATATTGCTGGCTCTCTGTGTCATAATTTTATGCTAAACTCGCCATTTGTACGGCTGGCTCCGACAAGTGGTGCCCGTGTGAGGCTGAATAAAAGAATACGTCTGAGGACTAAGAAGAGGCAACTTAAAGAAAACAGTCTGAGGCAGACTGAGGATTTTAAAAGGAAACCGTGTGAGGTTTATCGATCCTAGCAAAGGATATCATCGGCTCACTACGCCCGGCCAGGGTTTCAAGCGCTAATCATCTTAAAAAGATCCCGGTGAGTTCCGATCCCTTATTTATATTGATTTTAGAAAAATGGGCAGCTCTTTGTCTGCTCCCCAACAGAAGTTTTTAAAAGACTTAAAATTTCTCCTCTCCTCCAACGAATTGGAAGTTCCGGATGGTGATTTGATACAGCTCATTCTGACTATCAAAGAGCATTCCCCCCTGGTTTCCTGCAGATGGGACTTGGGAATTAAAACTTTGGGACAAGATCGGGGAACATTTTCATGGGCACCCCAGCATAAGTGTTCGGATTCTAAATGCATGGTGCAAGGTTCGTTACGCCATGGACTCTTTATCACCAAAAAATATCTCCATGGCTGCATTGCCAACACAACCTTCAGCTTCTTTAATTCAGCCTGCTGTGTTAGAGACTGTTCCAATACTCGTTTTGCCAGCAGATCCAGACCCCAAACCTCCAGACTACAGTTCCTCACCTGAGGACCCAATCCTGCAAAAATACAGTGGTCTGGCTGGCAATGATCCTAATCTTTCAGTGGCAGAACCAGCTACTCCTTTTCAACGTGCAGTCCTTGCCTGTTCCTTAATTCAGGATACTATGGCATTCCCTGTTATTGTGCCCCCTGCTGGTGCCCCGGCAGGCACCCAAGCCCAACACCAACCTTTTGACCTTAAGATTTTGAAAGAGCTGCAACAGTCAGTAAAGGCCAATGGACTCCAAGCCCCATATACGCAGCTGCTTTTAGAAGCCACATTAGCCCAGCTCTTGGTTCCAGAGGACATAAAGCTTTTGGCCCATACTGTGTTGCTCCCATCAGCTGGTGTTTTGTTTGCCCACGAATGGGAAACTGCCTGCCGTGCTTATGCTCCAGTCTTGTTACAACAAGTCAGAGGAAATAATCCAAATGTTACCCTCGCAGACGTCTTAGATGCCATGTTGGGGCGTGGTCCCTTCGCTCAAGCTTCAGTGCAAGCCACACTGCTGCAAATCTTATTGAGGGACACTGCTCTTGCTGCTAAACAAGCAATGAGAAAATCCCAGAACCCACCAGTATTCAATCAAGGTGGGGTTCAATCAGGCAAGAGGCAAGAGAATCATATTCTTCCTTTATGGACAGGCTGCTTACAGCAGTGAGTCGCCAAATTGAAAATCCTGAAGCCAAACAAATAATTATCAAACAATTGGCCTTTGAAAATGCCAATGAGGATTGTAAACTTGCATTGCGACCGATAATACACAATCCTGCCACAGACACAGCAGCCATGCTTCGCATTTGTCAGTCTGTCGGTGCAGCCACCCACAAGGCTTATCTGCTGGCAGCAGCGCTAAATGAAAACCAGCCTGTAGCCACCGATACAACTTATTTCCAGGGTGGCAAACCAGGATCACCGATACCCCAGGGGGGGTAGAACAGTGGCCTCTACCAAAAGAAAAATCCGCAGCAGCGGCACCAGCTATCTCTGACCAGCTTATTTCTGAACAATTGACTTTCGGCCACATTGAACCATCTTCATCCCACTGGCTCCAGCAGACAGGGAACAGTTTGCTTTTACATTGCCAGTGTATAACAATCCGCAGCCCACCCAGCGATATCAGTGGATTTTCCTGCCTCAAGGCATGCGGAACTCCACTACACTTTGTCAACATTTTGTGGGTGAAGCATTGAAACCTTTCCACATGCGCCACCTAGAGGTGCTGCACACAAACTGCATCTGGCAGTGTTTGCCTTCCTAACCATTTGCCTTGCCATCCTTTGCTGCACCTTTATACAAGGAAGAGAAGCAGACGACCAGTCCAGTTGAAACCACCATAATTCACCTCATCGGCTGGCAAGCAGCTGTCGCCAGAATCCTACTCTGGCTGGCAGTATCCACTGCTCAGCCACTTTCGAACTAGAAGAACAGCGTTGTTGAATAAGACTTTTAGGGGAGAAAATTATCATAAGATATGGAGGGATGATATTTTTGTACAAGATATGATTATGTTTGCCAGTTTATTGCATGCTTCTAAATGTTGGGTGTGTATGCCAGTCATTCAGGCATAATGCTTCATGGTGTGCCTGTCAATGGATCTTTTCAAATTACTGATATTATATCCCCTGAGCAAACCTTTTGGCCTCCAGTATAATTGACCCTCCATGAGCCTTCCCCCATTTATTTTCAAATTAAGGAGGGGAAAGAATCATGGGGCATATATCCAAACTGTCAATATACATTGAATTTCACTTTTAATAGCTCTTGTTCTCTTACAGGAATATACAGTGACAAATCTCAGTGCTATAGGAGTGACACCAGTGCATGGCTATTAAACTAAAAGGAAGCCTACCATGCAGCTTGGAATCAGAATTCTTATATTCTTGGCCTCCGGATTTTAGTGATCATTATAGTAGTTATTGATTTTAGTGACCATTGTAGTAGTTATTTGCATTATTTTGTGTTGCTGTATCCAATGTATTCTTTCTATAATTTCTATATGTACTGCATGGTTCTCCAGTCCGCAGCCCGCTTCCGGTGTCAAAGAGTTGCTTATCGCGCTCGATATCGCGTATTGACTCTGATATAAAGTAAAGAAAGAGGGAATGTGGGAGTCATAAAGCCACGGTAAAGGCTTGTAATATTGCAGGGTGCCCCCTGACCTCGGCTGACCAGCACTCTGAGCTTTACAATGTAATGGAATGTATTGGAGCTGTGTTTCCTCTGGGCAGTGATTGACCTTATAAGGTGAAGGGGGCAATAAAAGCCTTGACCGGATGAGGTAACGTGAGACACTGGCAAACAGCCATGCGGCTGGAGAGAGGACAAAGGAATAAAGAAACGGCAGGAGGAGAGGGAGGGAAAAGGAGCTGCTCCTACCATCATGAAAATATTGCTGGCTCTCTGTGTCATAATTTTATGCTAAACTTCGCCATTTGTACGGCTGGCTCCGACATGCTAGGCCCACACAGAAGGCACCTCTGCTTGCATAATGCAGTCCATATTTTAATAATAAAAAATAAAAATACAAAAGCAAAATCCCAGATCACTCACTTCCCCCCTCCAGGATGGATCAATGTAGTTAAGTTTGCCAAAATCCAATCTGTGATTTTGGTAGTTGCCATTCTTCAGGGTTATCAGTAAAGTATATTATAAAAGGATGCCATCTTTCAACAAAATCAACTACATCATTTGTATTATTCAATGCGTGCAATCTCTTTGTTAATTTTTCTGATACAGCAATTGACCATACATTTTGTTTCCAACAAGAGATACACAGATGTTCCAATCCATTCCAATTCTGTGTCACTAGTAGGCATGCTGCTACTAAAAAAAAAGTAAATGTTTCTTTATTTTCTGGTCAGATTGCCCTTCTTTAAAAATAGTTAACAATCCCAAACTTAGGGTACATTCCTAAGTTTGAATGTCTAAATGGTATACTAAATGTCATCATCAATGCATGATTCTGAAGTTGGAAATGGACTAAATAGTATGGCATATGTTAAAATACTATTACCAGAGTCAGTTGCTGAGGAAATACTTAACCAGTTTCAACACTGCTATATGCCCTGGGTGAGCCTTACCAATTACGGCCAAACCTCGATTCCCAAGTGGCTCCATTTTCAACCATTTTGGCTCCCAGATGCTGAAAACCTGGAAGTAAATGCTCCAGTTTTTGAACGTTTTTCGGAAGTTGGACATCTGACATGGCTTCCTCTTGAGTGCAGGAAGTTCTGGCAACCAATCGGAAGCCACTGCCTTGGTTGTCAAGCATAATCCGTTCCAGAAGCCTGTTCGGCTTCCGAAACGTTCGACAACTGAGATTTGCCTGTACTTTTAAAGTATTGTTGCATGCCACCCCAATCTCTGAGCGGTGCGAGATTCCAGGAGTTCCAGGCGCTAACCGGGGGTCTGTGTTTCCTTTTTGAAATGAGGCACAGCGGAGTTTTGGGTGTCTTTATGATATGTGGTTTGTTTACACATATATACAACCTGAGCCTATGTATGATGGAGGGGCTCAGAACACTGACATTCCAAGAGGGTCTTGCCTCTCCCATAGCTGCAGCCTTGGATTCAAACAGACACCAGACTCCCTGCAGCTTGCTGAAATTTACGGGCTGCAATCTCTCCCCCCCGCCCCAGAGTTTCAGCCAACTCTGAAACTCTACTTTTAAACTCTGCTTTGTTTTCCAAGCTAAACGCTGACTTTCCTCATATCTCCTTCCCTTCCCTTTGTCTTTCTTAATGACTTGTCTCCTAAGCAGTTTTCTGACATGGGATGCTGGCCTGGCTTATATTTTAATACTGGCTAAATCCAGTGTCTGGCATCCAGTTTTAACACTCCAAGCACTGATTAAATTCTAACATTTTTGGAGCACATAGAGAAGAAATGCCATGGCGCATCTGCAGCAGCACAGCAGTACATCTTCATCAGCCCCAGAAGCAACACAACATGTATCTCCCATATCAGTCTCTACAGTCAGACCAGGTGTTGCAACTTTCCAACAGTTTGATGTTACCCTCAGAAGTGCTCTCCTTCGCTGTCTCCAGAGACAGATGTCAACCAACTGAATCCAGGGATTTTAGGGTAACTAGCACCCATGAACTCATTATGCTTTATTTTGCAATAAAATTGGTTTATTACCCAGAAAGAAGGATGCTAATTTAGGGTTACCAGATGTCCCCAGTTCCCAGGGACAGTCCCCTTATTCGCAAACCTGTCCCCGGACAAATTCCATCCCTGGAATGTCCCCAGATTTGCAAATCTGTCCCCAGGAAACGTGGCAGCGGCAGCCTCAGCAGCCCGGAGCCAGTCTGGTAGCACAGTTGGCTCTGGCTGGCTTCAAGAGCTGCTCGCTGCCGCCACCACTGCCGAAGGTGAACTGGGGACATCATACATAGGCTCAGGTTGTATAAATGTGTAAATAAACCACATATCATAAAGACACCCAAAACTCCGCTGTGCCTCATTTCAAAAAGGAAACACAGACCCCGGGTAAGTGCCTGGAACTCCTGGAATCTTGCACCGCTCAGAGAGTGGGGTGGCATGCAACAATATTTCAAAGGTATAGGCAAACCTGGTACAGATCGCCTGCCCCCTTTCCCCTTTGTTTTGATAGATCAGGGGAGGCTCAGGAGTTGCGGGCGAGTGGCCGTTGCCCAGGAGGGGTGCAAGGCACATGGTTACTCTGCCAGGCAAGGTGCAAAGCCCTTCTTTTGCACCCTGTGAAACATAAATGTGCAGTTTTTTTAAAAAAACTGGGCAATGGCCGGCCAGCCAGGACTCCCAAGCCCCCGATCTGTCAAAACAAAGGGAGAAGGGGGCAGGAGATCGGGAAAGGCTTGGGAGTCATGGGCAGGCGGCATGCCGTTGCCCAGTTTTTTAAAAACTGACATTTATGTTTCACAGGGTGCAAAATAAAGGCTTTGCACCTTTATACAATATGCATGTGTGCTTGGGCCCAGGGTCTTTTGCCTCACCATCCCCACTACTGACTCCCTGTTGCTACTCAGCTTCCAAAAAAAAAAAGTGTCCCCGCATTCATTGAAAAAAATCTGGTAACCATATGCTAATTGCAGCACAATTTGAGACCGTTGGATTAAAATTTACCAACCTCCTTTACAATACACTGTAAAAGAGTTGCTAAATTGTAACTCACTGTTGTGTTGAAATTATTGCAATACTTTATGACTAATAAAATCTGGCAATTTTGTATATTACTGTATGGAGTGTCTTTAAGGAGCTCCCAGTGTTTCCCACTGAATTAAATCAAGTCATAGGAGGAAACTGTATTAGGTATTTATTTGGCTAGACAGTCATGTGGAAATTTTCCTCTATTATACTGGAGGTTATGCTCTTAAAAATAATTCGGTGGCTGATCTGTTACAACACACAAAGACAAACCCAAGCAAGGCTTTCTTGTAAACATTTGTGTCAAACCACTCACCTTTTCTGTATATTTTTTTCTGTTTGAAATGCTTGTCTTCAGTAGTATGATAACACAGCCAGATCAGATGGGCTATAGGATGAGGTGATGTTGTACTCCCAAGATGCCTGACTAGATGGGATCACCAGTATGAATAATCCAGGAAGGAGGAAGAAACACAGGCAGGAAAGAATTCATACAGAATGTGACACCAGGGCGGAAAATGGTAGAAAAACAAAAACAAAACAAAAGGATAGAAATAGCTAAACATCCCTGTATTAAGGGCTTTCAGGGGAAATGCTCACTGTCACAGAATCACCTCAAAGCAGAAATTTGTGAATATTCTCAGCAGCACTAATGTAGATTTTATTGCTACAACAACTCTGTAAAATAGGTAATTGTTCTTGCACAATTGGGATGATCTGCAGGAGACCATTTAATAAGCTGAGGTGAGCTTTGATCAGGAAATTTCACAGTCTCACTATGGGATCATACCAACTCTCAACTTAAGTTTGCAAATTTAGGCAAGTCAAAGAGGCTTATTCATGTGATCAGCACTATTGCTGGTCCTATGCTGCCCCTGGTAGCATCTAGATCTTCTGCCCATGTGAGTGATGCTGCCTAAATTTAAAATTGGCTTATTTGTAAGTTGAACCTGTTAGGTTGAAAATGCCCCGATGTGCACTGAACCCAGTTTTCTGTCTGATGAACTTTAATATTTTAATAATTCAGGCCAAGTTTGATTATGAGTTAATTTCTAGCTTCTGCGTGTGGGCAATGTGCATGACTAAATATCCAAATTCTGCTATCTTTGTGCATGCTCAGATGTTGACCCAAGAATGATTTTCCTCTAACCCCTTTGTTAGCTGTCAGGAGTCCAGGTTCCTGGCTTGATAACACAGTAAGCGTAGGGAATTTAAAAGGAGGATTTATTGCAAAAACAAACAGCGCCGGATGGCTCTAACAAAGCCACCAACATTATCATTCAAGATGACCCTTCTGAAGACTTCTTCCGGTTCCTACAGAAGATATTGAACCATCGCCCCTTACGTCTCTTGTTTTGCTTCCTGTCCAGCAGCCCTCCCATTCGACAACTCTTCAGGTTTATTGGATCAGCTCCAACCTCTTCCTGTTCCGAAAGACTGTCTCTGTGTCTGTCCACACCTGTTTGAGCTTCCTGAGAACATTGGCTGTATTCCAGCCCACTCTCAGTTGTTCCCTTGGCAACAGGCCGTCCAAGGTCAGAAGAAGTCTGCTCTGGCCTCTGCTCAGCCTGCCTCAAATCTAAACCTCTCTGTTCCTTCCTGTATTCTGCAGCTGGCTGTAAAGTTCTACTTGGAGCTGGCTCATTCCTGACGTTAGTCTTGAGGAAACCAATCAATTTTAAAACTTGAAAACCTTCAAGTTTTGAAATCCTTCAAGATGACCCCTGTAATCCCTTCCAACTCTATGATTTAGTTTCTTCACATTTGAAGAAATAGTCAAACTGTAGGCACAGGACATGTGAAAACAGCTAAAGGAAGGAATGGAGTAGCACATGACATTATGATGCATCACATCATTATGCCACACTAGGCACAACATGTTCCAAAGATGCACTTTGTTGATGCACAAACATGGTATATGCTCTATAATTTGATGAGGTAATTGGTGAGCTAGCCTATCAGTAGTGATTGGACCAGATTCCAACCAGTATGTTGCCCCATCCTACCTATGTGGAGAGAAAATATGGACATTACCATGAACAGCATGAAGACAACAACAGAGGCAGAGGCAAACAAATGTTGCAAAGAAAAATACATCTTCAGTAACCTCCCATTTCCTAACACGGTAACAAACTGGAATCAAAATAGCCGGGGGGGGGGGGAGAGAATGTCTCATAAAAGGCAGCCTTGTTGACTGAGACCATTTTTCGGTTAAAACTTTAGTTGTTCAATCTCCCAAAAATTAACGGCAGAAGTCTTTTTTAAAAGAATAAAAGGAAAGGGGGTTTGGGCTAGTGGCAGGAAATATGCTGTCAGGAAAGGCCAGCTTCTCCTGCTGACTTCAGTGATGCTGATCTAATATTGCATTTTTATGTTGTGAACCTCCCTGAGATCTGCGGGTGAAGGAGGGTATGCACATTGAATAAATAATTAAAATAATCATGTGCTTTTTGCCTTGTAAACTAAGGGGGAAAATAGGCTGGGGAAAAATGGGTGGGAAAGCAGCTTTGGGTTTTCTTTAATTACCAGGTCAGTGAGGAAGGCCAATGAAATCAAGGGGATTCTTAAAGCATTCTACACTTGGTGCAGAATGTTGCAGTGAGATTTCTTTATGGTTTGTCCCACCTCACACATATTACACTGCTCCGAAAAGAGCTGCACTGGCTGCTCATAAACTGCTGGGCCAAGTCCAAGGGTCTGGTTATGAAGCTGTAAAGCCACGAACTACCTGGGACCAGCATTCCTGCAGGTTGTGCCACAATCTTGGTTAACAGCAACCCAGGCAGGGCCTTGCCTGTAGCAGCCCCTTCCATATGGAATCACCTACCCTTGTTGCTCTGACAGGTGCCAGTGCTGATGATGTTTTGGCACTTGATCAAACCTATCCATTCTGAAAGAAATCAACCCTCACTGGTAGGGCAGATCCTGAAGCTGACGCCACCTCATGAGAAGAGAAGACTCTCTGGAAAAAACTCTAATGTTGGGAAAGAATGAGGACACAAGGAGAAGGGGAGGACAGAGGACGAGATGGTTGGACAGTGTTATAGAAGTGACCAACATGAATTTGACGAAACTCCGGGAGGCAGTGGAAGACGGGAGTGCCTGGCGTGCTCTGGTCCATGGGGTCATGAGGAGTCGGACATGACTAATTGACTAAACAACAACAAACATACCTGTGCATTCAAACATTTTCTGGAGTTCAGTGTTGGGAATTAAAGAAGGTTTTATTTATATTATCTGTTGTGTTTTATTTATATTACTGTGAATCTGCTGTTTGGTTGTTTTATCATTTTAATGTGTATAGCATCTTGTAATGCTATACAGCCTATAAAGAAATAAAGGTGTGTGTGTGTGTGTGTGTGTGTGTGAAATACCAGTTGAACTTATCTGCTCCTCATTTTCTTACTGAATAAGTTTTATCTTTATTAATCCTAGCTGAGAAGCTATCTGTCAGTCACAAAGATTTATTATTTAACATAACCCTGCAAATGCATACTCTAAAAGTCATGAACGTAAAGCAATTATAGTGTCAAGTCAGCTGTAATATTCTTTTTAAACCTCTAATATTTGACATTTGTCAGAATAAAGAGGCGCTGACTGGAAACATCAAGGACTGCAATGGTCTTCTTCAAAGTTATTTAAAAGAGGGCTAGAAATTTAAGAGTCGGAAATGTATTACTATTTTCCCACAGACTACTGCTGAAACAAATGACATAGCTGAAGTTGAATACATAAATGAAAAATGGTTTCGGTAGCTCAGATCTGAATGCTTTGATGGTACCAGACTTTTCTCATATTAAGCTTTCAAACGTAATGGTTAAGGAAATCAAGAAAGGTGGCAGAATGAAGCAGCCTAACGACTGTGCTAAAAACAGTGTATTGAATAAATGTGTATGATTGATTAAAGAAATATAAAGCAATCAAGGGAATGATGTAAAAATGGGGAGGGGGGAGTATGAAATATTTCCACATCCAAAATATTCCTGTTACTCTGTTCCACATGTGACACCGACTATGAATAACAGACTAAATCGGTTTCAATAATCACTTTGTTGTACCAAAGAAATGTAGTTATGGGAAGGGGCTGAAAGGATCTCACCCTCACTAAATTTTTAGAATTTTTAAAGAATGATTGATAAGGTATGAAATCCAAGCAACTGATTTTAATTTGAACAAAACTCCTTGGATATGTGCTTTCTGAATGATAAGATCTGATTAGTTCCCGACAGCAACATTTTGGTTTGGAATCACGGCATCTGGGCTCTGATCCTTGGGACATGACTGGGGCAACCCAGTCAAATGAGTGGGGTATTATTATTAATATTATTATTAGTGAAGTGGTACAGTTTAAGAAGAAGGCAATGCTAACATCTGGCAAACTTTGGTGTGACCCTATAGGGAGATACAGATAATTTACAATGGGATTCTAGTCTCTTTCAGGGGGAAAAAATCTTCTTTCTTCATAGAATGAATTAAAACTAATCACAGCCAATTCAATCTGTCGTCGTCGTCGTCATCATCATCATCATCAATTGATTCTCCCATGCCCTAGAGTATCTCATAATGCATTACACTTTTAAACCATACCAGATAAGTTTTCTGCTGTGTGTGCACCTAAAAAGCAAGGTGTGGCTATAACAAACATTTTGAAAATATCTGTATCACACAGGTATGCTCCTCAAAGAACCAGGATTGGTTGTGGTTTCATGTTTGATGTACACTCAGAGATAAACCTGGGTTTGTTGCAGTGTCCTCTGTGAAATGGCCCTTTGAGGCATTTTTGCATCCCTCCTTTTAGTCCCATTT